AGAATAGAATAAATATAAAAATGTGGTAATCACGAGAATAGAATAAACTACCCAGACTTCTTGAATCCGTTAACAAAACCAAATGATGGCAATTTACCACTTGTAAAGACACGTGCCCATACTAACAGTGTGCTCATAATAGTTTTCTGGATCGTCCGTCCTATTCTTACATAAGAGTTTTATATACAACTGGTTATACAAATCAACCCCAAAAGTATAATCGGAGCGTGGCGTTAACGTTGACATGCTATTAATGACCATCCATTGACACCGATTCTCTTCATAAAAAATAATAGAAGCCCTTATGCGTAGTATTAGTATTATAGACATTCATATTTGAGAATTCAAAAATGAAAAAAGTGGAAATGGCTAAAACTTATAAATGATTTTTGACTTTGATGATTATACGCAACGAAATTTTCTTCAATATTTACTTCAATGTTAAGAAACGGTCCTAGATATTGCAGCTTTGTGAATTTCTCCAAAACAAAGAAAAATTTTGGGAAAAACTCTCCGATACATAAGAATAAATTGTAATTTGATTTTTTTGTAATTTTTAATATTATAATAGTAAAAAATAATTATTGATCTTATTAATTTTTCATGTTTATATTTTTTACTAGCATACTTCAGTCAAAATTGATGGTCCTTTTTCATATTGTGTTTGTGAATCTATATGATTAAGAGAATACGCAAAATTTTGTGGTTAGTGTATTTATATGATGAAATGGGTGTTTATGATTAAATTTGGTATCATTAGAAAGGTCTTGACCTAGAGTTGTACCTTTTCAAGGTTTCATATCATTCTCACCAGTAATAAATTTATGATAGTAAGTATTTAGGCGGCATTTGAAAATGCTCTTTCTCTAGATCCATAATTAAGAAACGACCTTGTATCTTGTGAACTATTGACATTTTAAAAGATATAAGCTCATCCCGATGTTACACTCATCAAGACCTTTCATTTGAGTACCCACATCAATTTATCATATATTTATATATATTATATATATATATATATATATGTATATATGAAAAATATATTAAATATGCATGTGGGTACTCAAATGAAAGCTATTGAAGAGTGTAACATCAATATGAGCTTATATCTTTAAAAATATCAATATTTAAGAAAGTACAATGCAATTTAACAAAAGTCATTATTTAACAATGCAAAATTTTATTTATTTATAGTTCGCAAGTCACGGCAGTCACATAGTGACTGCAAGGTGGCTAGTAATTATTAAAATAAATGTAATTAAATATTTGGATGTGATGACCACTTTTTTGTTCAATATACATCAATTATTTTGAAAATTATGAATCGGTGGTAAAACAGCGAATTAGTAAGTGACAAGCGTAACTCACCCGATGAGTGTGTGGATGTGTGTAAACCATGCACCGGTTGTCATCATCACCAACCACTACTTCGTAAATTCTTTAAATGTGCCGATTTATTTCAACAAAGAATGCCGGCTACCGACGACGACGTTACGGTCGGCATTCCATGGGTGTCCCCGTCTCCTGTGTCGTCCTGTGTGTTTGTCATATAACTTTAAGTCCCAAGTAATTTCTGATGCTTCACCATTTAAACATATACATACCAACAAAACATCAGCAAAATTATACCTCATATCTCATAGTATGACAGTAAACCGATAACGCATCTCCAGCTTCTCTTTCGGCGTTTTCTTTTACCACCAAGTTATTTTCATGAAGGCAATTTAGTATTTTTTTAACATTTGTCAAATTACTTTTTTTATTATTTATTAATTTATTTTTAACGAGAAAAAATATCCACTTTTTATACACAACCGGGTAGTTTTAATTTATTATATCATTTAGGGGGTTATATAAAAATTCTTAAATAAATATTTCTGTGACTTTGAAACATGATATTAAAAAACACTAATAGCATAAATAATAATAATAAGGATGATAATAATGATCAAAGAAGTACTCCTTAAATAATTAAGACATTGGTTCTTCAATAAAGTATATCAATAAATTGTATGTATAATGACAAAAACGATATATTTGGTTCAAATGAACCGCTTTAGTTATAACAACTTTTTTTTTATCCTGATGTAATATAGTCAACAAATACTTTAATATTATTTTATTAGAATTTACTCATTATTTTTGATAAGGCAATGAAAATATCAAAAAAGACTATAAATAAATACTTCAGTATCTAACAAGTCAAGTTAAAAAAAGCAACGTTTTTAAAAATATATGTTTTGCGGAAAACTATAAGCTCGATCTTTGAATTTAAGCTTTTGTTTAAGATTTTTTCTGAAATGCACTGCTAAAAATGGTAACTTATAATTGAAGAAAAAACTAAAATTAAAAAAGTAATTATAAAAAATTTTTTTGTTTTGAATCATGCAAAAAATTCTTGAGTTAAGGAATTTTTCTTGGTTCAAGTGAATTTCACTCAGTTCGGGAATTTTTATACTTGATTCAAACAGTGAAGTTCTTAAAATTCTTCTTTGGTTTAGAATTAATTTATCTTTAAGCAAATTAACTTTTTTATTAGCGTATGAAAAAAAAAAAACGATAAAATGTATAATTTTTTTCATAAAGATCTGATCAATTTGAAGAATAAGAATGAAGACAATATGTCGCGTTTTTTTTATGTATAATTTTTGATTTAGTGCGAAGAATTTTTTTCATTAATTGAATCAAAAGTTTGATTAAAAGTTCGTAGGTTACTTTTCGAATTAATTTTAATTTTTTATAAAAATTTTCATCTATTTTTTTCCAAAAAAATCTGTTAAAAAAGAACGATTCAAAGAAGAAAAATTGAAAAACTATTCAAAAAATATAATTTTCCACATTACCCACCAAATTTTAGTCACATCATGTTTTTACTTCAATTACCAAATTTGAAACAGTGTATATCAATAAAAATTTTTCAGCAACTATAAAATAATTTTTTCATTATAATAATAAATTAAAAAAATGTATGTACATTTCATAATAATAAAAAAAAAGTTACATTAATGAGTCTATTCTAAACTTACTATTTTTTTCCTTATAATTTGATTTTAATTTACAAAATAATATTTTTGATAGTGATAATGTACTGACAAAATAAGAAAACTAACTGAAATATTAATAAATCTAAAATCGATTGTGATAAAAAGCGAGGACGTGTGCTGTCATTATCAATTTGACATCTTGTCACCTATAATGTCTTTTATTTGATAGTGATGGAATGTAATGCAATATAAGTATTCTGTTGACAGACGACAAATAAAGAATCACCGTACATAAAACATAAAACACGATAATCAATCTATTTTCATTACAAATATAAAGTCGAAAAATAAAGCTATGTGTTATCTTAACTGTTTATTTAGACATTTAATTTATTAGCGGGCACGGGGATGGAAAGGGTTGGAGTTAATCGCCGGCACCTTTTGCTGGTAAAATTTAAAACTGATCTAGATGTGGGCTCAGCAGCACCAGACTGGACTCGACTTGAGACTTGAGACATTGGAAGGACCAATTTAGACATACCATCGAAATCGATCCGAGTTAAAACTGTATAAGACCCCGCACCTGCGCCCATCCCTGCACCAACAAATTGGCGAAATAAATCTAACGACGTCGTAAAGATTCTCCTTCACCTTTCTCTTGATATCATAGTTTATTTATTTATTTATTTATTTGCCATCGCTCCACGGTCAGCTCTTTTCTTTTATTTCATTTTTTTAATCAACTTGCTTTTTATTTTATTCCGACCATTTTTTGCTATTCGATAACGTCGATCCCAATATTTATGGCTTTTTTCTTAGCTGTCCCAAGACAATCTTGAGTTTAAACCGAGATCGAAGAAAATGTTAATTTGTTTTTATTTTTTTGTCAATTTTTTTTATTTATTTGCAATCAATTTTGTGATTTCTCATTTTTCTTTTGAGAACTTCTAAAAAAAAATCCTCCTTGAATCATGAAAATATTTAAAAGAACAGAAATTCGCTTAGCTTAAGTAAAATTTTATTAAATGAAAGAAAATTTTCTTGGTTCAAAAAAATTTTGTCTTGCTCCAAAATAAATTAGATCTTTAAAAATATTTTCTTGGTTTGAGTGAAACTTTTTTTATGTGCACCGTAATAAATAGGGAACTTTTACCAAAAATTAGAGTGATTTTCTAAAAATTGCTAATAGTCGTCGATACGTAGTAAATAATTTTAAGAAATATATTAATATTAAGTTAATGTGGAACCATTAACTTACAAACAAAAAAATATTGAGTCAATTGTTTCAATAAAATTCATCTTTTATTAAAGATAAATATTTTTTTGCTTACAACATTCGCAATTTTTTCAAAAAATACGTCACTTTTCAAACAATTTTTGATTAAAACAAAAAAAAATAGATAATTACAAAAACATCGATTATCAATAAGTAAATTATTAATTGGAATTGGTTTATCAATTGAATTTTGTTAAAATTATTAATTCCATAATTTAGTATAACAACTCTAATTGGATCATAAAAATTATTTTGCGTCTAGAAAATGACTGACTTTTACTTGAAAAAAATAACTGACTCTTAAAAAATTTTTATCGTCTTTAATATCAATTATTAATTTTGAAAAAAAAAAAAATTTTTGTATTGTAACGATTATTTATTTTCAAAAAATCGATATTGATATTAATTATGGACTTGTAGAAAAATTTGCGATTTGTTTTTAAAAAATGCCTGAAAAATTTTTATAATCATTGTATCAATAGACAATTACTTGAAAAATCAAAATTTTATCAAGAAAAATTAAAAACTATAGTAAATTTATGTTCTTACAATATAATTTATGAAGTCAAAAATTTTTTATTCTATTTATAAATATTTAAATATAATAAATGATTTGAAATTAAAAGAAAAAAGATTAATTTAAAAAACAAAAGCGTCAATGTTTTCATTAACATGATAAATGGTTATGTTTTTTGTTTATGTTTGTGTAAAAATAATCGATAAATAACCACTCGTACAAAATGGGAAGAAGAAGAAAAGGCAAGCACGGAACTTACCAAGTGGCGGTGACTATTATCGAGGCTAAATACTTAGCACAAAATTCCAACCCGATGGTAGTGGTAAAAGTCGGGCATCAAAAGAAAAAAACCATAATAAGAAATCGCACCGATTCTCCTTATTACAACGAAGTAAATTTATTTTTAATTACTATTAATTAATTTTCAGAAAAATAAATCAATAATTAATTTAATTATGTTCTTTTTTTCCCCCAGTATTTTATATTTAATTATACGGGAGACTTTGATACATTTCTCCATACCAGGATTTCGATATCCGTATACTTGAAGAGATGTATGAGGCTGAAATTTCACGGGGGAATATTTTTTGAGGTTTCTACGGTTTGGGACCAACCAGGTGATAATTAAATATATAATTGTTCGGAAATGGTTAGATTTACGCCATCTCTGAGTAAACATGTGAACCATATGCATATTCATTATTATATGCAATCATACCATCTGAAGAAAGTCAGCAGTGCTGGATATTATCGACGGAACGAACTCTAGCGCTGTAAGAGTAGGTACAGTAGAGTTTATCATTAACTGCTGCTTTATCATCAACAGATCACGAGTATTATCACAAATGGGCGATGTTAACAAATCCTAAAGATCCTACGGGTAGTCCGAAAGGGTACGTCAAATGTAACATTGGAATCAATGCAAAGGGTGCGACTATTCCGACTCATCTAGAGACTGATAACGAAGAAGACATCGAAGGGTTTGCTTCTTTAAATTTTTTCTACATTAAAAAATTTTTTTTTATTAATAATCCTTCATGATTTTTCTAAGAATCAATTTTATTTAGAGTTGAAAAAATCATTTTTAATATTTTAACAGACGATTTATTCATTTATAATTTGCAGAAATCTATTGATGCCAATAGCGAATTTTTGTGCGACAGGTCGTCAAAAGGCGCATTATATATTTACTGTATTTCGAGCGGATGGATTACCATGTAAAAATACGAGTCATTGCTGTGGGAACTCCGATAACATTGTTAATCCTTTCATTCAAATATCATTCGCTGGAATGAAAGTAAGTTTAATCGACAGATATTAATTCCCGTCAATAGAAATTTTTATCTACAAAATGATTTAAAGCCTCGAAAATATCACCGTCAGATAATCCCAGTCACATTAATTTTAGAACTTCAATATAAACATTTTTTTGATTTACTCATTTTTAAATATTTTATTTTTAAAACGTCTAGTCATATTAACTTTTTTAGTAATGAAAAAATAATAATTTGGTAACTTTAAATTGACAACACTCGAATTTAAAGAAATAAATAATTTATTTCAATGTATTATTTGCATAAAAATAAAAGTTTAATTTTAAATAATACCGTCAAAACTTGGAAACTCCAAAAAAAAAAATGGTTCTTCATCTGTTTAACTTTTTGCTTTTCTCAAAAGCTGCTTTAGTTTAAAGTCTAAAATTTTTACGATCTTAATGTATCGATCGTTCTTATATATATACCGGATATTTAGATATTTGCATAAGGTATTTCTACCCTACTGATCTCCTTATGACCCTTTATTTTTTGCCATTCAATGCAGAATTATATAAAAATAATAATCTATAAATTTAGAAGAACCATATAAGAAAATGTATCTAAAGGTAAAACTACTTTTCTTATTTAAAAATCATTAAGTTTAAATTATCTATTTGAGTTTTTCTAATTATTACTCATTTTGTGAATGTATCATAATTTTCGAGTTGAACATCGTCAATTTAAGACTTCAAAATTAAGAAAAGTGTTCAAAACAAAATTCCTTCTCTTTAAATGATCATTCGTACACTGATAAAAAAGTTAATTTAATTCAAGAGCAAAAATTTTGTATCAAAATAATCATTTTTTTCAAAATTGTATTTTTGGTTCAAGATTTTTGCTTTTGAATTAAATTAACTTTTTAATCAGGTTAGTTTTTTTTCATTAAGACAGAAATCAAAACTACTTAAATTCTTCAGAGCCTCGTAACAACTGTTTAGCCAAATAAATTTGCTACTAATAATAAAATTTAAATGTTCTTTGAAATAATAGCATCATCTATCGCAATAATAATACGCATTACATTTATTGGCAATATCATTAATCAAACAATCTAAACAACAACTATATCGTATGCATATTTCATTAGATTAGTTATTTTTCTACAAATTCGTCATAGTCCGGTACAAATATTTGTTTGCTTGTTTGACTTCTAACTCCCATACATTAAAGCCAGCTGAATAGTAGTCTAGTACTTCAAACTCGTTTATTTCTACTCGGAAACTATAAATATCTTTCGACACATATTTCCCGCAATGATCGATATGTCGCTGAGTTATGTAGTCAGAAATACACCGTTACTCGTTTGTATTTGCTACACTAGCCAACTACCAAAATCGATCGGCTTACTTGCACACCTACCTTGTCTGTCAGACGAATCGATTGTCTCTATACTATACATGTGGTCATTTTTTTCATTGCTTTTTTGCTATCACGAATCATATCTGTTCCACGATTGATTAATGTGTTGGAAAAAATTAAAAACGTCTACGGTCTTATAGATAAATACAGGTATAAATAAATTTGATCTTTAAAAATGATATTTTGCTACTTTTCATCTCATTTAATATTCTATTCAATCAAATGATTAATGATTCAAGACTCTTGTAGCTGTAAGTAAATTAAATTTCAAAGTAATTATATTACAGACGCTGAATAAATACCGAAGATAACATGAACCTTTAATCACATTATAAGAATAATTTTATTGTTTGATATTAAATATTATCATTATTATTATTTTTATTAATGTCTAATACAATTTTTATACATCTTACGAAAAAAATGAGACTCAAAGTTTTTTTTTTCTTAATTTCATCTAATTTTTAAAAGTTAAAAAAATGCAAATTTTGATCTTAAAATTTGTTGTTTTTTTCAAATAACAATTACATTTTTGGATTAACCTCTAAAATTAAGTCAATTATCACAGAAATTCAAATAAGCTTACCATTATATTTATTTTTTTCAAATATGTTTAGATGAATTTAAATAATTATTCTAAATTTTTAAATAAATTTGGGTATTTATTTTAATTTTTAGGGCGTTTAAATAAACATTGATGATTTTGACAATCCATAAAAAATTTGGGTGAATACAATAATTTTTTAATGAATTGAGATGATTTAAAAAAATTTTCAAGTAAAGCTAATTAGTTGATTTTTTAATATAAGACAAATCAAATTTTGACGTTTGAAACGATGCTCAATAAAATTGGAAATTATCAAAAATCGATAAGGTTCATTATTTAAAAAATAAAAAAAAAACCAGCTTGGATTTAGGAGCAAACGTTGAATAGTTTTAAAAAAAATGTTATAAAATGAAAGCCTCTAAAATGATAAAGCTTGAAGCATTAAAACGTAACGTACCTGAAATTTACCGAAATTTTTTTATGTTACGCCTGCTAACGAAATTGTTACATTCAAAAAATCCAACTGATCCCACTTTATGGTTGCATAAATAATTCAAGGGTCATAAAGATATTTATTAAAAATAAAATTAAACTTTGAAAAAATCTATCTTACAATAAAATTACCGTAACTCTCTATGGCGATAAAAAGAGCATTTGCGCGAAAGATTTATCGGAACATTTATATCTTATTACCGAAAAGTACTTTTCCATAATTCATAATTTTATTATGCATTTAAAGGGTGAAACGAGTTGTCACACCGAGAGTTACACTCCACGCTTCAACGAAAAAATAATATTCACTGAAATGTTTCCACCTTTATCATATCGCGCTCGAATTGCTTTAAAAGACAAAATAGATAGTTGCCGTTCAAAGACACTGGCAACCTTCACGCTCAACCTCGCCAAGTTATCGAATTCCGGTGAATATGGTAAGCATCGATATTAGTTAAATATTTAACATTTTATAAGTAAACAATTGATTAAAAATTTGTAGGATTTCTGCCAACATATGGGCCATCCTTCATTCAGTTTTACAACGGTACCAGCGAAGGTTCCGAATGTTCGTGTGTATCCAAGTGTGTATCCAATACGCGACCTATTTATCAAGGTAGAGTGCTTCTTTTTCTGAAAACAGAAATTGATGATTCAGAAGCCCCTATTTTTACTGGAGTGGATTTTGAGCCAACGGCTCCAATTATTGAGGCAAGTTAGATTTATGATTTAAGCTAATTTATTCCAACAACCCGCCAAAGGTCAATCTTATTCATCGCGCCGTTTTTAGCAAGCCTATAATGAATCACTTCTGTGGTCACTACATTGATAAAACAACAAACTTGATTCAAGAGATAAATTTTTGAACAAAAAAAATCATTTTAAAGAATTTGAATATCTTCAATAATACTTAATTCAAGTAAAATTTATCTGAATCCAGAATAATTTCTTAGATCAAGAATTTTTCCACTTGATTCAAGATAATCAAACTCTCCGAAATTATGTTTTTGACTCAAGAATTTTTTTCTAATCAATTTTATTTTTTGAAGTTAAACAAGAAATGTCCACATTTCTGCTAAGAGAATTTATTATTTAAACAATAAATTTCAAAAAATACTGAAACAATAATAAAAATTTTTATTTAACAATATCTCATCCAACTTCTCCATAATCATCATTATTATTAATGGATTATTTAAATATCAAGATAAAAATAAATTGAGTACTTGAGAAATGTTAGTAGTTGCTTCAACTCAAGTACTCGAGTTAATTAATCTCTGAGTTTTGTAAAAAAATGTGAAAAACTAAAAAAAAAAAAAAGAAAAGAGAAAAAATGTTCATAGTACTTAATTTTTTTTTCTCTGTAATTTACGGAGAGTATAGGCTTCAAATTCTTACGCGGTATATAATTACGTAAAAGCTCCTTATCATACGAAAGTATAATAGGGTATTAAGCAGGGGTTATCACGCAATTGTAACCGGAGCTACCCTTAACTTCTTGATGGACACTTTCGCGCCGTAAGAAAATAATATAAGTATACTTATAATTAATTCCGCCGATTTAATATTAAGTTTTGTAGTTTCGTTATTAAATTATATGCCACACCGATAATCTCGTTGATTATATCTTAATAGCTCCGTTCATTGTTATTTGTTTCTATTTTTTTTTCTTTTTAGAACAAACTATGGTTTACGGAAGAGTATTTGCTGGTTGGAATCGTGTACGGTGCCAACATGATCGACCGATCGAGATTCATGAGGAAACCTATTAGTTTTGAAATAACTATCGGGAATGTTGGGAGTAACATTTTTCCGTCTAAAATGGAGACTTATGATCAGTTATCGAGTAAGTTTCTCCAATTTTTGGATCTTAATTTTAATTTCGTTTCACTGTTGTATTCTCAAAACTCGAAAAAATTCCTCACCGTCTAAATTGAATGTTCCCTTGAGTTAAAAATTTGAAAAATGCTCAGAATTAGAAGGCTGAAAAATTTCACCGATACAAAATTTTTTTTTTAATGACAGTATAAATTTTTTTTTTTTTTGTGAAATTAAATGCTATTTTCGATTAAACATTTCAGTTACAAAAATACAACCTACGAAAAAATTTTCTTCTATGGCTTTATATCTCCATAATAATTGTTTTATTTCCTTATAAACCCATATATCATTTTTCGAACAAATGTAGTATTAAAAATCTCCAACAGAGCGTGCATGATCGTTGAATCGTCTCTTTACAAAGTAGTTAAGTTTGAAAAGTTGTTATAAAATAAAAATAATTTTTACTATTCGACTAGGGAGAAATTTTTACATCAATTTTGGGTTTAATGATCATTAACTCCCAAACAAATTTTTGAATAATTTGACAAGTTAATTAATATATAAATTTCTAGCAAATGTTAAAATTAAAAAATTATTATAATTTATCGCTCGATTGCTGTATCAGATAATTTATCAAGAGAAAATTAAATTTTGCATGCCTTAAGCGTGAAACCCTAATGGTACTCAAGCCGTAAAATTATTTTTTTATAATATATTTGCAATCAGTTTATTTTTAAAATTATTGTTTCATTTTATTCTTGCAATGTACCATAGATGATTATTCTTTTTCTATAAAGGTTTCTCATAAAATTATTAAAAAATTGAAAGTAATATAGAGATTATTAGTCACGTTTAAATTTTCCTTTGATAAATTTACGAACAAAAAGAGCTTTTAAAGCGGGCACGTTCGGATTGACCAAAATTTTTTATTTTTCGAAACAAAAAGATTTAACACCCTACCATAAATACGTGACCACCTAAATCTTAAATGAACCCATTCTGAGCAATATATATCTAGAAAGATACAAGTTTAGCCCCAGACTATCTTAATGATACAACTCTTGGCAGTTTAATTTAATTTATAATTAAGGCGGCCGTAACGGAATTTATTTTATTTTCTTGATAATAAAAGTGACTGCTCGTACGTCTAGGAGGCAATTAAAAGACTCAACTTTGCCCTTATTCCTCATAGTAGGCTGCAAATTTTTGGGTACAATTCTATTGTTACAATCACATGATATCATCGGAATAACAAAAAACTATAAAAGACACATATGTGTAATTAATTTGTTCCCAAGGTGACAATAAAGAAGCACATAAAAATAATTCGAGGTAGTTAATGATTAAGCCACCGAGATAACGTAAAATATAACACTGCTAAATAGTTGAGTGGAATTAATTACTGGATAAAGGAAATTTATGTATATGCATTGAAACGTGTATTGAATTTAGTGCTCACTGCCGGCGGTGTCTATGTTCATGCATGTATAAATAAATGTATAGATCTATGAAACTGGAATGGTGGTTAATTAATTAAATTTAGTTGGATAAAGAGGTCACTCTGATATTTTACGCGCGTAAGAATCTTTTCATAAAGATCGCTAGAATATCCTTAAAAATTGATTCCAATTCAACTGCTATAACATCTATAGATAATTTTATTTTTTTGTTAAATGGTTATATTTTTTTTTATTAATTCAATTTAAATGAAGAATGAATCATTGAATTATTGGCTTTTATGTATGTGACTGAGTGGATTAATTATAAAAGTTTGATACGAAAATTTAAATAATATATACAATTAATCCAGAGCAAGTAATACTCGACAAACGTCCTGCTTTCGTGAGCTCCACTGCGCCTAGATTAACAGCCACGACAGATGGCAAGTTTAATTACCTTCCACTTGGATCCAATAAACCTTGCATGTACGTTAAATCCTGGTGGCCAAACTTGGAATGGAGAGTGTCTAATACCAACAGTCTTTCATATATCGCCAACTTCCTCGTAAGTAAACTAAATCACAACAAAACTTTTAATTAAAAAAAAATATATCTTTTGTGTATTTATTATTATTATTATTTTAGATCCTATTCTTTTATTTCGTGAAAATAAAGGTTCATAGCAACTAACCCGGTGAAGGTGTAGAAAAAAAAATTTTATCTTATGGCACAATTAAAATATTTTGTGAGCCTTTAATTTAATCTAGAATCATTTTAATATTAAACTGGTAGTAGGAAGCTGTGCAAGAATAGAAAAGAAACTGCTGGAAATATAATGGACTAAGCGAACAATGATGTGGTTAAATTAATAAAATTCATTTGGGAGTGCAGTACAATAAGATGTTTCATAACTGAATTTATTATTTATCACGTTAAAATATTTTTAATACTTAGTCACTTAGTCTGACAATAAAAAGCTCGGAAAATTATCGTAAAAGAGAATTATTTAATAAGAAAAAAAATTAGAATATTTTGATTAATTAAACGGACAGCTTTTTTTTGCATCATGAAAAATTCATCAGAATTGATCCTCCGGGGAAAAATAATTGAAATTCACTGGACAGGAAAAAAATTTTTCCGAAACAAAGAAACGGTAAAAGTATTTCAATTGAAAGTTAATGAATTTAAAAAGCAATCTAAGCTAGTACATATAAATTACGGGTTGAACTCGTCTGTTAGCGAATGACCGATTGTAATCCGTTCTGTCTACACTTTGTCAATAGATGTCGACTTTTTCTTATTTTTTTTTACAATTGAGGTCAGTGTCACTTTTTGTAGTTAATTCAAGTTTAATCATTTATCTACTTTCTGCAGTGCGCTAAAGTGGTTTCAAAACATGTTGATCAAAAGTTTATACATTAGAAATTCGAATAGTTGAAAGTCAATTTATTGTTCTGAGGGTAGAATACGGTTCATTAACAAACAATTTTTGTCGACAGTTTTATTATGAAATTTAAGAGTTAAATTGTTAGGAAAACGTAATTAATCATGAGATTAAAGTTATCAGACGTTTGATAATTCTTACACTGAAAAAAAAATTAACTTGAATCAAGAAAAAAAATTCTTGAATCAAGTAAAATTTACTCAAAGCAAAAAAAATTCTTAAGTAAAGAATTTTTTCGCTTAAATCAATCAGACGAAAATCTTCGCAATTATTTACTTGATTCAATTAAATTTTTTTTCTGTGTAGAGTTAAAAAAAAATAAACTATTAGAAAAATTTTTAATAATTGACATATTATTTAACTACTTTTACAATATTATTGATATCAATCATAAAGTTTTTTTAAAAGATAAACGTCTAATATTAAAAATCAAAAATTTGTGACACGAAAATATTATACCTAGAAAATGAGATAGTAAATTTGAAAAATTTCTAAATTTTGAAAATTTTATACTCTTGTATTTTGCAGCATGTATAGGTAAAAAATTTTAAATATCAAGTTTTAGTTAAGAATTAAAATAAAAAATCACTGGCATAATTCTTGAATATTTTCAAACCTATTCATTTGTAAACTTGGAAATATAATGTCATAATTTAAATCTACCAAATTTTATGATTATTATTTCCTTTGTTTTATGACCAAGTAAAACAACTAATTGGCCTAAAAATAAATATAAAGTTATTTTCTCTTCAAATTTCATTTATAAAATATAATTTTGCATTAAATTTTCCACATGCAAGCTATTTACTTCAAAATTACCCTAATTAAAATGTTAAAGACAACAATATAAATAATAATAATAATAATAATAATAATAATAATAAAATAAATTATACATATTTCCAGGAGGATATGCTAAGCGAATTAGAAACACTAATTGCCGTAGAAAATGCAACGGCATATGAAACTTATAACAGTGTAATTGAGTCATTAAAACGTTACTGTATGGAATACTTGTCTATATTGGATACCGATATATACTACGAGAATGGCGGAACCACGAAATTGGACAGGCACCGGATTAATCTGTGTCACTATTGCATACAAGATATAATCACGATGATAAATGTCAACGGCAAGCTTCTCAACAATAATTACATCAAAATAGCAATGTTGCATGCATACAAGTATCTGACAAGTATAAGACAGATTTCTGAAGACGTAAGTCCTTGTTTGTTCTGTTTAATATGTTGAGATTATAAATGATTCTTTGATAAAATGTAAACATGTGAATTTATTTCGGAAATAAAGCCACAACATTCATTTCCGGATGTTTTTATTTGGATGATAGCTGGCAGTAAATACGTGGCATTAGCGCGTCTACCGACGTCGGAAATTATTTTCGCTGAGGACGAAATGTCACGGGGAACCAAGTGTGGCCAGAGAATAAATTTATTTATGAAAGATATAACCGATGGATTTGTTGACGACAGTGTCGATTACAGCGCGTGTAATATTGAAATTTTTTTGTGGTTCGGAAATGCTAAATTTGCATCTGCTTGCTGGAGTGCAATCCCCCACGGATATGATGTCGAGCACTCTGTAAACATGGAATTATTTCCCAAGTCTCTCAACTATACAACGAGCTCGGTGAAAAATTTTTTTTTCTTTAATATTATTATAAAACTTTTATACGGATTCAGAATTTTGCTGATTAAATTCGAAAATATATACTTTTGATAGTATATGGAGACTTTGGTTTAAAGCTTAGCCTGTTCTCAGTGGAATAAAAATAGTTTGATAAAAATGAGAGGCCTAATTGATTTTTTAGAGCAATTCTAAGGCTCAAAATTATCAAATTTATATTAATTTAGCAAAATATCAGTCATGAAATTTCATAAATATCAAAAGCTTAAAAATTATTCTCTTTCCATTTATATTGAAGAAAAAAAAATGATAAAAAAGAAATATTTTTTATCTAAGAAAATTATTTGAAGACCCTGTTGTTTTGCTTCAATAATTTCTAGTCTTGAAAGTCGTTTTTTTTTAGCCAAGCAAAATTCAAAATCTTCGAAAACTAAAAATCATTTCGTTTATGTTTATGAATTTTACACTCTTAGATTCAAGACAAGTTTTTACATTAAAAAAAAAAAATTTGATTAGAATTTATTCTCAAAACAATTTAAAACTAATTTTTGATGATACTGAAAATTTTTTTTATCGAGTCAAATTTCTTATATGTCGAGAAAAGTCAGAAACTAGATTTAAATAACCTTATTTTGTAGAAAATTGAATTATTTTTCAACGTCAATTAAAGAATTGCGCTAGTGACCCATACAATCTCACAATTGCAAATTACAGGTACGTGGCAATACGCACTGGTGTAAAGCATTTAACTTTGAGCAAATCACGCTTTGGACTATATGATAGCATAAAATGCCGCTGTTATAGATATTGACAAAAAAAATCACTTAAATGGTACATCAAAAAATTTTTTTACGGGATATTGCATGCAAAAAGTAAAGTGCTTTATTGAAACAGCAAATTTGTTGAATAGCTAAATTTATCTCTTCATCCTCGAGTTTTATTTTCTTGAATTAATTCAAACTCAATATTCTTCTTGAATCGAGTAGGTTTTTTTTAAGTGTAAAATAAATTTTCTTAAAAAAATTGAAGAAAAACTATTATATCACTAAGAAGTATGCACTTTCAAATTTCCTGAAAAAGGACCACATAAAAGAGATTTTATTCCAGAAATTCCAACTGCGAGCTCACATTTTCCAGGGGCGATTTGACTCCGGCCTGGACGCGACGGGTTTAATGGATCCATTTATTCGCATAATATTTCACGGATACACAGTGACTACTCGAGTAAATAGTTTTCTGCTTAAGTAACAAAAATAGTACAGTATATTATAGCAATTATTATATTTATAGTAATGACATAAAACTATTTTATAGACAATCAAGCAAAGTTTAGCTCCAGTCTGGGACGAGACATTAGTATTTCCCGGTATTGATCTGTATGGGATGAGAGAGAGTATAAAGTCAATGCCACCCCAAGTCATAATAGAGGCATTCGATTGGGATTTCTGCGTAAGCTTTACTACCGTTAAATAATCTGCTGTTAAAACTAACAAGTCGTTAAATAACTTAACTAGTTAAAATGTGTGGGTGGGCGAGTTTACGAATTTATAGTAGTATATAGGAGGTTCGTACTCGCTTTAACGCCGATTATTTGCGATGGTACTTAGGGGCCAAAGGAATTCTTTGGCAGATGTATCGCAGTCCCAGTTGTTAAGTTTAAAGAAGAAACATATTCGCCCCCGGAATTCCCCCCGACTTTAATTTGGTACAAACTCGAGACTCAGTCCGATTTCCAGGGAAGTGTTTTGGCAGCCTTTGAACTTATTGAAGTATGTTGTTTATTTACCTTTTTATAAATTTATTTTGGCTTGTCTGCAAATTGCAGAAGGAAGTAAAATTAAAAAAATAAATTTCTTATCGAACGTGACCTTTTTCAATTCATTCTATTCCAAATAACTTTCGAGTTAATTTAAACGAATTATTGATTAAATTATTTATTCAGATTTGATACGGCTTATTTATAGATAGGAGGTGACACTGATATTCTCCTGACTCCCTCGAAGGAATCGATAACATATAATCTACCTCACGATATTCGCCCGGTGATGATAAGTCATCGTCTGGAAGTTATTTTCTGGGGAATAAGGAACATGAAAAAAATTAATTTCGCACGTGTTAATAGACCTAGAGTCGTTGTAGAGTGCTCTGGAGTTCAAGTTAAGTCGGAAATTATGAAGAATGCCAAGAAGTTCTCCAATTTTCGTCATATTCATGTCATTGTTGAGTTGGTAATTTATTCTTATTCAATTATAGCGAAAGTGAGTGAATAAATCTTTGATAGTGGTTAATAATAAATTTTAATCTCAAGGATTTACCTGAAAAGGACATTTACTACCCGCCGATCACAATCCAGGTTTATGACACTCGAAAATTCGGATGCACTAAGTACGCAGGTGTCTGTATAATCCCGACGGCTCATATGTTTCTCAAGAAACTGATCCCCGAAACAGAGTACAATTACAAAATTTACGATCATGATGATGTGGGACAGTCTTATCTCAGGAAGCCTATCTCCAAACTTATTTGTAATTTATTATTATTACACTGAAACAAACTATTTAGTTCAAGAAAAATATTTTTTTTTTCTTGAATTGACCAGTGAAATTAATTTTTCATACACAGAAAAAAAAATGTTCTTGAATCAAGTATATAATTTTGAAGAACTTAATATTCTTGATTTAAGAAAATTTTACTCGATTCAAGAATTTTTCGTCTTGATTCAAGACAATTACCCTCTTCAAAATTATATTCTTAGTTCAAGAATTTTTCTCTTGAATCAATTTAATTTTTTTTTCGGTGTGTAACTTGATGTCATTATATGGTCTGACATTTTTGTTGACCCATACACTGTAAAAAAAAAATTAACTTGATATAAGAAAAAAATTCTTAAACTAAAAAAATAATTTTGAAGAGTTTCATTGCCTTGAATCAAGACGATAAATTCTTGAACCAAGAAAAATGTTTTAGAATAAAAATTTCCTGATTAAATCAAGACGATAAATTTATTAAAAATGAATTTCTTAATTTAAGAATTTTTATTAGATATTAAGAATATAATATTTTTATGAAACTAAAATATTATTTTAATACTTAGAAATAATTTTTTTATTTTTTAAGACAATTTTTTACTGATTGGAAGCAAAGATCATCTTGAATAAATTTGTTTAAGAACCAGGACCAAGCTAAAAGTTTTTGTTTTTAATATTGAAATAATATTTTGGTTCTATTAAAGTATTATATCGTTTCTATCTGAGTATCAAAGATAATATAATTGAACTAATTAGTTATTTCAATAAAAATTGAATTCTAAATAAAATTATTATTATTAATTAATTAATAGTAAAAAAAATTACTCAATAATTTAATAAACTTTAGTGCCATTACCCATCGGCTACGATCTTGAAAGAGAAGGAACGAAAAGTTTGATGAGTTTAAAAGAACTCTCTAAGCCAAGATTTAATTATCGAATGATGCAATTCTGGACTATCATTAAAGAATTTTTATGTAGCAGCAAAGATCAAACGGAACATGAAGAGGAAAATTATGAAGCAGATGAAGACGAAAGTTATGACTGGTGGAGCAAATATTTCGCGTCGCTCGAGGTACTTTCCAAAGAAAAATAAAATTTAGATTATGTGTAAAGACGTACATTTATTTCAACATACTCTCTTAATATCCTTTAGTCTTCTCACTTCATATTAAATTCTCAAACTAATATCCGTTATTTTTTAACTTTATCAAGAAACTTTCGAGTTTATCGAGTAATTTTTTTCTTTTACTTTTCTCTTATTCAGGAAGAGCGGCATCGGGAACTTGGAGAAAATAAAATACTCCCACCCGGACAGAAACCTATTGCGACATTTCGGGTAATTCCTTTTATCTCATATAAAATTTTATTGAAAAATTTTATTTCCTTAGAGTTTAAGCATTCCTGATAGTAACAAATTTAATATTACTGAAATATGCTTCTCTAAATTTTAATCAATATTGCGAGAGGATGTAAGCTCACACTTGAGTTTTTGTATTTATTATTTTATGGAATTTATTAAATATTTTCTTATAAAAAAATTTTATTTTCAAAAAAATATTATTTTCAAAATTTCACTCTTAATAGATGCAATTATTTCTTTTTTAAAAATTTTATTTTTAATTTAAAAAAAAAATTCATTTTTGAAAATAAAAATATTTAATAATACTATTCAAAATAAATTGAAGAATAAAATTTTTTTTCCTACTTTGAATGAAAAAAATTGTTTTTGAACCAAAAGTATAGACTTAAAAAAAAAAATTATAGATATTTTCAGAAAATTATCCTAATACAAAAATTTAATAGAATATATAGGATTTTTTAAGGTACAAAAACGAGTTTCAAGAAAAAAATTCTTGAATCAATACAACTGATTCTCTTTAATTAAAATAATTTTCTTGGATCAAGAATATGTTTTTTTAATTAAGTCGTTTTTTTATTTATTTTTTTTTAATATTGTGTAAAAGTGTTACACGACATGTTTCTTTTTAAAATAATTAAGAATATAGTTTTTAAAAAATAGATCTACTCAATGGAATTAGAGATGCAGCCAGAGTTCGAGCGTTTTCAAGAAAAGCTAACTACATTCGAACTATCACGAGGAAAAGACACCGGATGCAATGAGCAAGATAAAAAAAACATCTCCGGTAAATTCAAGGTACAAACATTTTAAATAATTTTTTATAACGGTACTTGTGCTCGCCTTTGTTTGTGTGTCGCGGGAAGAATTCATCCGTGTCAACAGACTAAATCTACCTCTCGGGTTTTCCTTTTTTTTTTAACAACTTCGCAAGTTTTTCGTTGTAAAATACTGAAATATTTTCTCATTACCCCAGCCATCTGTCTTTTCGAGTGTCCCTTTCCACGGCCGCAAGTACCGAGTTGGGAATGGCTGAGCGTTGAGGACTTGGCGCTCCGCCAAGTACAAAATAATTCGCTAATTTAAAGCATACTGATTCCGATTCAATTCACGGGCGCATTAAATAGCATCCTTCGACACCTTATAACTTATAATAACCTACTGCTTATTAATTTAATAGTATAATACTGCATCACACACTTTATCATCGTTAGCATCATTTCCAATCTCATTATACATTTTAATATTATCACCGCCTCTGATATTCATTCGCTCTCATTACTTTTACTTATTTTATTTTTATATACTTTTTCACTATTATTATCATCGTAATTGCAAACAATAGCTGATGCGTCGTAAAACTTCGGCCATTAAATTATTCACGAGCTTACGACACGCCTTCTATTGTTATCTGTGCATCAAGCCGCAATATTAATTAATTATAAAAATCGTTTGTTATATTCTTATGATGCGGAATATAATATTATTTTTTAAATTATTCATCTTATTATTTTTTATTATTTCAGGGACACATTTCGATTTACCCTTGGTCTTTTTTGGATAAAACTAAATACAAAACCAAAAGTGGACGGGACGTGTCCTATGGATTTCTTTCGGATTATCCACCCCAAGAGCCGGTTAAACTTATTGTGCGTCTCTATGTCATAAGAGGTAACTTTACAAGATTTTTATTGGCTTGTCAGCAGTTCCAGATTTTGGGATAAGGATTTTATGGCCTTGAAATGTCCGAAGGACCGAAGTAAAAAAGATATTATTTGGGGGAAAAATTATCGGAGTATATTGTTATCTCGGATTTCAATCGACAGAAACATTTTTTGGATACTAATAATTTTTTTTTAATTAAGTATGAATAATTTTTTTCGATTATCACATAATCTGTTTCCCAGAAATACTTCTAGACTTTTTATGAGTTTACTTGCAATTTTTTTTGAGAAAAGATGTTATAGGCCTGAAAAAAATCACTCGAAAAAATTTTTTTCAGTTTAATATAATTTATTGAAGGTGTCAAATTTAAATTGTAATGAAAATTTATTTATTTGAAGTTAAAATTTTTAGATTTTTACATAAAAAAAAATTTCTCTAGATATTTCTGTTTTTAAAGTACAATGAATTTGTTGAAAAAAGCTGCAGAACTAAGAAATCTTCTCTCAAGACTTTTTCTACTACAAATTTCAAATATTTATTTCCTGAATCATGTTATTTTTTTTCAGTGTTCAAGAATATTTTTTTGTAAAAACGGCTTTAACAGAAATCAGTATTTTCTTTTTCAATAATACAGACCATAAAAAAAATTCAAAGTTAAATTTTTTGAAACGTATCTAATATAAAATTCAATAAAATATTGATAAAAATCCTTGAAGAAAATTCAAAATATTATATTTACCATAAATTGATAGAAATTACCCAGATCATATTTTATATTCCATAATTTATTTTTTAAAATGAATCATGACTTTCATGATAATAAAAAAATATTTACTATTAAATTTTCAACATTACATTTCATTTCACAGAAAAATTTTTTTTAAATCAAAATCACAAAAAAAAATATCTAAGACACCAATAGAACGTAGAGTTTCAAATTAAATATCGTAAGCGAAGAAAAGGTTTCTTTTTGCTAAAACATTATTAAGAACAAAATATTTTTATACCCGCTGGTTTTCCATTAGCACTAATGGACTAACATCATTTAATTACACAAAAGTGTAATATTTTATTTTTTTTTGCAAACAATATGTGTGTTGGTATGATGGTAATAAATAATAGTATATTACACTACAAGGGCAGAAAGTTTGAGATTCCTGCACTGCGCGCCATCATGGCACGCAGTTCAGGGCTCTCAAATTACTGCCCATGTAGTGTATACTAGTTTTCTTACTATGCGGTCGAAAGTACGTTAAAAATTGCGTTGAAAAATTGATGCTTGCCCCGACATTTGCGGCACAAGCGGAGCGAGTGTATAATTCTATATAATTATATATGATTATATATAATTCTATATAATTATATATGTGATTCCATATATAATCATATATGATCATATACAATTATATATGATTATATAGAAACATTTTTTCTCGGGATAACAAGACAGATACATTCATAACAATCACAAGTAAGGTTAGGCTTGTAAACATAAGTAATAGAGTGAGCGCGACTACCGACTTTTGGACTTTCTGCCGCCTCGTGTCTCGTTGTCAGTGCATGAATACATTTTTTCGGCTCCCCGTCGTAAAGCGCATGCACGACTCGTCCACGGCATAAATGTCAGGCTTTCTGCAGTGAAATCGCAACAGAAACCCCGTACTTTCGACCAGCGTAGTAAGAAAAAACGTTTGACTTTTTTATGATGTCATGTCGTATGATAATAAACCGAATGCTATTCAAAATTCATAACATACCAAGCAGAGAAATCCAACATGTGCTAAGAGTTCTCAAAGTTCGATTACTACTTGTATTGGTATGACACAAATATGTAATATATACAGACAACTTGTAAAGAGTATGTAAAGCCTCACACGAAACTCCTAAACAGCGCATGATAAATTAGCAAGCGTTTTATCGATTAGAGGCTTTTCATTGCCAGTTATAGCTTACAGCGACGATGCTGATCTACATGGACGCTAAATTGACATAATAGACTTATCATGAGTAAGCACACTTAGTGCTGTATATTAATACATCGATCGATTTCGCGCTTATTAAGGATTAATGAGAAATTTAGTTTTCCAGACATGGAATACGAGACACTAATTATCTTCATACTCGCTACCCGAGCTATTTTGTTATTAACGCCATTATAATCAACGTGGTATCTAGTTATATAATTTTTATTAATTAAAGCCGCAGGATATTGATAAGTTCAAAATTTCGCTCTCGACTAAGATGCATTTTAGAGTTATTAAAGTCTAATTAATGTGTTGTAATTTTTTCTTTTTTTAGCGATTAATTTACACCCTTGTGACCCACTCACTGGAAAGTCTGACCCATATTTGATCATGAAGCTTGGAAAAAATGTAATTAGTGATCAAAGCAATTACATTCCAAATCAATTGAATCCTATTTTTGGAAAGTAAGTATTTTTATTTCTATTTATGTAAAAATTTTTAAGGAGATGTCAGCATAATTTTTTATTTTAATGGGGATTTTTTTAGTTAGTAACTTGACTGTCTTTAGAGGGGATAGATGTTGAATTCTTAAATAATTTCATATAAAAAAAATAATTATTTACTGCATACTACAAGAATAAATTGAAAAAACAATTATAAGTCAGTTAATAAATTACAAGAAATCAATTTTAATTCAATTTTAGAGCTCATTCAAATTTTTCCGCGGATAGTATTTTTTTCTTACGAATTGATAACTATCTATTGTTCTGATGCGTGAAACATAAAACAAGAACTAATTAAAGACGGTATTATCGGTGGTAATGCAACAAAGCATATGAACATAGCATCAGTTTTTTTTTTAAAAAAAAGCTGTCAAAAAATTAATCTTTATACATGGCTGCTTAAACGACAGAAAATTTCTCCAACTGCTAGACGAAAAAAAATTGATTAAAATTAAACATAACAATACTAAGATGAAATTTTAATTTCATAACTTCCTATAAGCTAGATGAAGAGATTAAAAAAGAAATTGAATAAAAAAAATTGATTTTTTCAAAAATAACCATGTTTATCCCTCCATAAAGATTTCAAAAATCTACTTTGTAAACCATAAGAACCGTTTTTTTTCTTTTTTAATGTAAAAATAGCAATTAACCCATTTAAAAAAAAAATTGAGTAGGTTTAGCGATCATTTTTCTTTCTATGTACATTTTGTATCATCTATATCGACGGTCTAATTAGCAATTGGTCCAACTCCGTATTTTTAGGAAGGTAATTTTTTAACATTTTGATGTAACAACAGTCCAATTATAAATAATTTAAATGATCCCAACGAAAATATTATACCTCTATTAGATATTAAATTGTTTTTTAAAGTGATAATAAATTTTGAATTGATTGTTTTTTCGCACAAATGAGACAATTTGCTAATTAGAACGTCGATATGTACAATATAACTGTCAGGTAAACTTTTTAGGCGATAGTAGAGCATATACCTTCACGCTTGCACTTTGAAGGCACGCAAAAGTTAGAAAAGTATTTTATAAAAAATTCTTGATGACGATAGCCAACGAAAGACTCAAAATTAAACGATCTTTCCATCGTTAAAGTCTCTAATTTTAATTCCAAGGAATTATTAACAGCATGAAAATTAAATGAAAACCTCTAACGTCAGATGTTTCGAAATGGAGGCAGAGTTCCCTCGAGATCACACGCTAATAGCCCAAGTGTGGGACTGGGACGCAATGTCAGCGGACGATTTGATTGGTGAAACGGAAATCGACATCGAGAATCGATACTACAGCGATCATCGTGGTTGCTGTGGGATATCTCGAACATACAGCACATCCGGGTATAATGCCTGGCGTGATCGAGAGAAACCCACCCAGATCCTGGAGTCCCTCTGCAAGCGGAACAACTTACCGTCACCAGAGTTTTCAAACTCTCGTGTAACAATCGGAAAACAAGAATTTCCATTTCATGCGACATTGAATACTGCAGACGAGCAAGGTATCGTGAGAAACGGACTGGATGTCGGAAAGTTTTCATTCAAATATTAACTTGCACTTTAACAATACCAAAATAAAAGAGTGATAACTTTCGTAAAGTTAACTTTAAATAAGGAGTGATACAAATAATAAAAAGTTTATTATTGTTATTCAACTTTAGAGTTGAGAGAACGCATGGCACTGAATGTACTTCATCATTGGGAACATTTTCCAATCTGTGGCCTGGCATTAGTTCCGGAACATGTTGAAAGGCGTCCATTATTCAACGCCGAGCGCCCAGGACTTGAACAGGTTTTGTTCTATTTTTTTCACCATTTTTAGTTTAGTGAAACAAATGAAAGGGCAATTATACGGAAATGAAACTTTGTTTACTTTCAGCTGTTATAAATAGAAAAATTTTAATATTAATGAATTTTTTTATTTCATCATTTTCATAGTAAATTATTTTGAAAATAATAAAAAACATAAATATTAGCAAATTTTTTTTTTAACAAATTTCACTCTGTGGAAAATTAAAGATAAAAACTGGCGTAGTGTTCAATAATCAAATTTCACGAAGAATTTTGATTTAGAAGTCCCCAAATTAGAATTTTGACTTCTAATCAACAATTTGATGCATTAATTTTTTAATATTAATATATCCTTTTGAATTTTTCAAAAATGTGTACATCAGTTAACAAGTTTTATTAATCAAATCTTGGTTGAGTAATTTATAGCAATAAATAAAAATTTGTGTTAAATATGCTCGTTATTTCACCTCATCTTTAACTCTCTTGTGAGGAGATAATTTAGGAATCATGCACCCCCTGTTGAAAATTTTTAGCATTACTTTGAATCGAAAAGTTAAGTATGGGCATAGATGACCATATTATGCCCGATATTGGCGTATTAAGGTAATACTACCGGTTTTAGAATTTGATGAAATTTGGAATATAGGTACATAATAATGTCTTAATTAACCATTTAAATTTTTGGAGGCCTACCGAGAACTGAAAAAAAGACATTTAGTCACAGATTTTTGCCTTTACCATTGATCCTTATGGAAAATCACAGACTTTATTTTATTTCGCAAAACTGGACGTTCAGATTCTTATAAAAATTAAGACAACGAGAGAAAATAACATCTAGAACATATTTAATAACAATCACTATGGTTTCAGAGAATATGAGAATATTTGTTAATAAAAAACATTCAAAATTTAACTCTGTCTATCTTTCTCCAACGCGATTTAGTATAGAGAAATCTACTACGTTAATCAAATAAGGTTAGGTCTTGAGATTTGACTCTTGTGGTAACGGTAGTACTACCTTAAGTCATATCAGGACACACCAAGCCAGACATATCATCATATAGCTAATTTTCATACTAGGCCATATATGGACGAATCAAAATTTGGAATATCATTATTAGATTTTAAAATTAGACACAAAATTTCGTGAATTTATTTTTTAATTGTCCTTTTAATGCACAATATGAAAAGTATAACAAATTTTAAAAATCAATATATAATTTTCAAACCGTTAATTATAACTTAAAATTTCATTACAAGGGATTTTTAAATTAAAAAATCTTTATAGAATTTAATTTAATTTAATCCACCGATTAGTATAACATCTTTAAATAAAAACATAGCTTACTCAATTTTTTGATTCGGTTGAAAATACGTGAAATCCTACTTCTGTACAATTGCCTATGAAAGTTTTAGTTTTCTCTTGTCGTAACTTTGAGCTCAACAACATTTAAATCAAAAGTTCTGAAAATTCACTAAACTGCATACTAAGTAATCTAGGAATAAGTCATGACCAGATAGATGAGAGTTAAGTATCCATAAAGTAAGGTGCATCCACCTGACGACTGATACTAACCCAGCTGTTGATGTGTAGGGCAAATTGGAGCTTTGGGTGGACATGTTCCGTATCGATGACCTACCACCGAAGCCACCCATCAACATAACTCCGCAAGCCCCAGAGGAGTATGAGCTACGTGTCATTATTTGGAACACAGAGGATGTACCGCTGGTTGACAATCAATTTCTCACAGGGGAAAAATGCTCCGACATTTACGTTAAGGGGTAACGTATTCATATTTTCTACTTGCCCATTTGTTTTTATTTAAACTAACCCATTTAGCTCGTGTATTTTCTGCGATAAGTACTTAAGTCGGTACACAGTTGAATTTAAAATAGCTAGACCTTAATCGCTGTTTATGCTTCACCTTTATCCCCTTAAGGTGGATCATGTACGAGGATTTGCAGAAGACTGATGTCCATTACAATTCACTAAGCGGCGAGGGAAACTTTAATTGGAGATTTATTTTTCGCTTCATGTATTCCAAGTCCGAGAATCTTATGATCGTCAAAAAAAAATTGTCCATTTTTGCGAGAGACGAAACCGAGCAGAAGATGCCGTGTAAGTTGAATCTCCAAGTTTGGGACAGTGATCATTTTTCTCCTGATGATTTTCTAGGTAAAATCGTTAATTTATTTAAAATTTTACTGATAAAAATTCAAAAATAAAATTAATTTATTAGATTGAAACAGAGCAAACTCAATTTTGTCACTTGAGGTTCTGGTTTGACTTTAAATTAGCTTAGCAACTCAAACTTGAGGATAATTAAATCTAAAAAATCTTAAAAACGGTTTGACCTGCGGGCTGCCCCAAGACTACCAAGAATTTGCATATGCTTCTAACTGTAGGTCGTCTACTTCGGTTGTAGATTTCTATAACTCAATTTAGACCTAAATCAACTCTAATCCCTGTCTCCTGTTAGCAATTCTAAAAAAATTTACCGTATATTCAAAGCAGTTGTTAAGAAAATTTGAATTTGCAAATTTTGGTCAATCTATTACAAAAGTTACATTGATAGAAGAATTTATTAATTAACTGTTAATAAATTCATTTATTTGGAAATAATTAATTTATTTCTTGAATATAAATAATTCTTGATTTATTTTTAATAAATATTTTTTATTAGCTGTTAATAAATCTATAAGATTGAGAAAATAAAAAAAATTTTGTGACGACATACTTCTATTATAATATGGGTTTTAAAGAAAAAAACCTAAAAATGAAAAGAGCGTACATCAACTAAAATTTTATATTTATTTTTTAACTTTCCGCTGCAGAAATTGAATGTTTTGAACTTCTGGCTATGAGAATTGAAAATTTTCGAAAGTTTTATTTCGAAAATTTTTATTTAATCAATAATTTAAAAAATTTTTAAATTTTCATTAGCAAGAAGTCTACAACATTCAATTCTTGAAGCGGAAAATCATAAAATGAAAAAAAATTTTTTTTTCAATGTACGCTCTATTAATTTTTATTAAGAATTGCTTTTTTAAAGCTATTCCTACCATTTTTAAGGGTAATAGGAGGAAAAAAAAATTTTTTTTTTTTCAATGTACGCTCTATTAATTTTTATTAAGAATTGCTTTTTTTAAAGCTATTCCTACCATTTTTAAGGTAATAGGAGGAAAAAAAAATTTTTTGTACACCTTTTTGGCATTAGTAACGCGATAAACCCGTGAAAAAATATTCTTATATGGCCTTATGTGATCATAAATGAAAATATAACAATTATTGCAGCATAAAATTCTGTATACATACCCTGATATGTGCATTTATAAATTTTTTATTTGACTATATGTATCCTGATCCGGATATTGGCCATATCAGGACTTATCAGAAAATTTTTTCACAGGTAGTGAAATTTAATGAACAATGCCATTACATTTTACAATATAATAAAGATACAATACACGAATATACACCCATAATTTAATTATTTATTTTATTTTCTCTATTTTTTTCAAAATAAAATTATTTATCCAACAGATCTAATGGAATTACATTATCTATTAAGGTCATTGGGTTTTAAAAAGAGTAAATGTGAAATTTTTATTCTCATTCGTTATTTAAAGGTCTAAAAAAATGTTCATTGACAGTTGAAAAATTTTTGTTAAAAGTTTGTAAATATTTATGAACAGTTACAAAATATAACAGGTACAATCCACTGTTTGAATCCACTGTTGTGAACAGATACAAAATACTTATAAAATACTAACAAATTGTTCTACAAGTGCCAGAAACTCATAAAATTTCGAGTCATTATTGATTTGTTTAAATTATCAACGAAAATTGAACAGAGAAAGTAATGTATAATTTGAGGCTTGTACATTTGAATTTCGGAAACTTCTCAGCCTCGCGTTTAGTTCAGTCTCAAAACTCCCAAGATACAAATCACCGAAACTATCAGAACAATCTGCGAACGATTGACCCCGTAAACTAGTCGTGGAACTCCCCAGTATTCCTAAGCCTCGAGAGCTTTGTTTCCGTTAAAGCAAACTTCGCACCAATGTAGGCTCATGTACGTTCAATTTCCCAACTAGGAAAATCAGCGCTTCTATTTTTTGATCAAACATCATGATTCATGATCATGATCGCAAAGTTCTAAAGCGTCGACACTGTTGATGGTAATGCCGTGTTAATTGGATTATAAATTTCCGCGTCGAACAATAAAGTTTTAACGAGATTCTTGTTATTTAAATATTTATGGCTATGGATTTTTTGTCAACATGCAAGTAACGAATATAAATATAAACAGATATTCAACACAAAAGTAATGTTAAATTTTAAACACAAACTTT